GTTTGAAGTGAGCGCGGCCGTGCCACCGCAGCTGTGCCATCATGACGCTTCTCAAGGCACTCTGGAGGCGCCTCTCCCCACCGCACCAATAACCCAACCACATGACCACAATACCAAACCATAACACATCCTACGGCAGAGCAAGGGCAGTTTACTAGCGCGGCCCACACCACAGGCTCACACTCGCTTACCCTATCTCTACACCCATCACTCTATGACATTACTTTGTTTAAGTGATAACCAATGGAACATTCCTAAATCTCAAGTCTTTTAAAGAAAAATGTCAAAGTAGAGATTGTGCTGATTTAAAATTACGTTACAATATTTAACTACTACCATTCAAGCATTAGAGTAATTATTTCTTTGAGATTAATTTACAAATCATAATTCATATATCACCATTACATGTAAAATATATAACTTCCTAATCTTACAAAATTTTCTAAGCAATGTCATAGAATTAGGGTGACTATTTCATTGCTATGGTACAAGTAAAAGAACAAGAACAGGGCTCATTAAATTTCAATGCTAAAAAATAAACATAATAAAATCTTATGACCAAAGCTGCCTATGACACAGGTAAGAAATATGGTATAAGGAGCTCCATACCAACAGCCCTAACACCAATATTATATTGAAAAAAAAAGAAATATGAGCTAGGGTCACAAAATCAAGTTAAAGGGTATTTTGCATGTGTCATATGGAGCCATCTTTTGTGTTATGAATAATGATGTATGAAATAAAAATGATATTCTGGGTGAGGAAATCTGTAAAGTGGCAGCAGACAATGGAGACCCACTCTTACTCTAAGGTTATTGGTCCTCTCCTAAGTAATATAGGAGATATCAAACCTTAGGGGAACAGAAAGTCACCAATTGATCTTTTACCTACCCCACTCAAAGTTAAGTAACTGTTGGGTCAAAGACCAAAAGTCAAGAGTCCTGGGACATTAACTCACCCTGGTGGAGTTGGGGGTCGCTTATAGCCAAACTTGGTGTCTGTGCAATTTCTAGAAAAGTGACCTAGTTCACCACACTGGTAACACCGCAGATTCGGGTCATAAGCTCCTCTCATGCGTCCACCCCGAACACGAGGCCTTGCTTGAGTGACCTTGATGCGGCAGTGGCCAATCATTCTGAAAAATTATCTTTGTTTTAATTATACTCCTAACTATACATATTCAAAACTAATAAACTAATGTTTCTCACTTCCAAAGAAGTAGTGACATTCACAATTTGGCAAGCTCAGTAATGACTCCATATCTAATATGGTAAACATAGAATAATTTCTGCATTTTGATAATTATCTCACAATTTGACAACCAATAATAAACCAATTATATATTAACGTACAAAAAAATAAATTCAAAGCACAGAATCTGTAAACCTGTACATCCAATACTTCTTATTCTATACAAACCTTGCACCAAAAGTCCTTCCAATAAAAAAAAAAGGATAAACTTTTAACACTAAATGGCATTAACCCAATACTGCCAGGAATGTTTAACATAAACTATAATTTTGTTTTGTGAAATACGTATACAAATAGATCCACATATGGCTCCACAAGTGCTCGGCCATCAAGGAGTCAATTAGTAGACCCTGTGACCTCACCTAATTTCACTTTTCCTTCAACTTTCTGCAAATTCCTTTTAATGCTATTAATATTGATGCTGCTGTTCCTACTGTAAATACTATAATTATCATCATATCATTCACATTGCTAAAAGTGATAAAAGATGAGAGAGAAAGGTTTTGAAAATCCAGAAAGAAAAGGGAAAATGGAAATAGATAGACTATTTGGCAACTAAGCACTTGTGGAGTTGCTTATGTGTAAAGACAATTAAGAAACTAAATGCACAGTGGGCACAGCATATACAGCATCCCCAGAGGCAATGGGTTAATACATAAATAAAGCACTTGAAGCTTACATTCCGTCAGTTTCCTTAAGTGCTCTATCTGCATCCTTCTGATGTGCGTAAACCACAAATGCAAAGCAAGGTGGATTCCGAGCCATCCAGATCTCCCGCAGTCTGCCATATTTCTCAAACACTCGCTCTAAGTCCCTCTTGCGTGTATCAACATCTGCAGAGAGGAAATTTAAATTGTAATTCTCAGGATAAAATGAATAAAATGGGTACTGAAAAAGAGCACAACAAAGAAAAGTTATTATTTCACCAGTGGCAAACAGGCCAAGATGATAGTCATGCCCGAAGCATTGCTTCATATAATGACTAAGAAACTGGCCTTTATTGACTGGGAATAAATAAAAACAGAACAAGCTAATCTGCCATTATATCTTACAATGAAGATGCACGTTTCCTAACACCCACAACACATATATTCATTTTTGAGTCTATTAAAAAATCCTAAAAGAGTAAGAATATATTTTAATAATATTAAGAAATGTAATATTTGCTACATAACCATAAGAAATTAGAGAAAAAAAAATCCTCTAATATATGAAATACAGACACACTCCAGTGACAACACATACCTAGCTCAGCTACGTGAAGACGAGCTCCATCCACCGGCGTTCCACTTCTAGATCGAGATCTTGAACGCCTTCTTGACCGAGATCGTGATCGTCGTCTGCGTCAGAGACAAGAAGTGTAAGAGAGGCACTATGTAATTTGTAATCAATGTGTGTTTTACATTATCCTAAACCTTTATAAAAACAAAGACAACTAAAGAGAATATTCACTTGAATATCAGGAAAGAATTTTCTGGGTTCCCACCTTGATCCACGAGATCGGGACCTTGATCTGGATTTCTTCCGACTTCTGGAGCGAGATCTTCTACTTCGAGAGTGAGATCGCTTCTTGCTCCTTGACCGCGAACGAGATCTTCTGGATCGAGATTTCTTTTTTGACGACGATGAACTAGATTTCCTTTCTTTACTGGTGTCTACTTCCCTCTGCTTACTCTTACTACGACTACGAGATGCCACTTTATCCTCAGCCTCGTCACTTCTGCTGCGCGAGCATCTCTTTTCCGCTGCCTCACCACTCCACTCGATCATCTCCTTATCCTCAGGAGTCCTCGAGTGACTGGACTCTTTTTGGCCTCTGTTTTCTTCTGTATCTGACTCCCCTCTCATCCCATTCTCCCTCCCCTCCACTGAGTCCTCTCTGTCAGACATATTTTGCCGATTTGACCTTTGATCTCCTGGAGACGCTGACCTCGAGTGGGATCTAGATCTGCCATCATAGTTGCCCCCATCACTGTCATCCTTCTCATGCCTGACTCCATTTTCTTCCTCTGAGTCAGATGACATTGTGTATCTCTGTAAAAGATAAAGTTAATGATTGAAATAAATTGGATAAATGGTAACAAACTAAACATACTAAAAACAATAGTGATAGAACTACATACTTGGAATTCCTGACACAATAGTAAAACGGATGGTCAAGCAAAAGCTTGGAAAATAAATTAACTGTCACACAGGCAAAATTTATAACGATGAAAAAAAATTATATATTCTTCTACTGAGGAACTAAGAACTGCCATACTCCTAATTTTCAAGACTTGAATTACAAATTTCTGCTGTTACACCAGGAAGAACTGAAGGCCTAAATTTGAAGTGGGCACATAATTTAATATTCACACTAGGCCAGTTTATATCCCAAATGGACAGGTGACATTTCACATCCATTTTAAGCATAGTAAAGTGACATTTTAGAATACATTCATGAATACATCACCATGTCTCTACTGAACTAGCTAGCCCCATCTACACATTGTAGGCCTTGAAGTCACTTGATAACTTGGCTATTGATGGCAGTAATAATAATAACAATGATGTTCATGATGAAAGGTCTCATGTAAATAACATACTTTACTCTGCTGCTACAAATTCAATTTTCCTCTTTTCTTCGCCTGTATTTCATCCATCTTTTACAAACATTTATTAAGAATGAGAACCATATGATTTCCCTACTGCAATTTTGGTTGCATCAGATGATTTCTTATAAAAATAAATTTAAGAGCCTTTAGCACCTACTTTGCAAACCTGTATCTCTTCAAAAACCACAAACAGTGACAAACTCACATACAAATTTACCATTTTTTGCATAAAACAACAGCTTTACACTACTTCATTCATGCATTTTCGTTATTCAGAGTATTTTTTAAAAGATATTCCCAAACCCCAGACCATAATCCCAGCTCAATTTGGGAATCTTCACTGCCCAGTTGACTGTAAAACCCTCCACTAAAAGGTACATTCACATCTCTGAACAACGACAGTATCATATTTTCAGTAAATAATTTCATGTTATGGGGGATGTTTCAAAGTCTAATATAAATGAGAAAGAAATAGAAAAAGACCATGAATGAGACAGAGAGAAAGACAGAGAGGCAGAATGTGTGCATGTGGTGGGTGCACTTGTATCCCCCCCCCCTTCCCTGTAATACCAGATGATCCCAACTGTTAAATCTGCTGGTAACAGATGACATATAATTCAACGAAGAGTTATAATTTTCTAATATATAATTTAAGCTATCCATATACATCAGTGCCACATGGGTTTCTCACAGATATACTAACTATTAAGTTGTACCCTGACCTTCTGCAAATATTAAAGCACTTTTTTTTTTTTTCAAATACAAATAATAATTAAAAAGAAAAATCAAGGTACTCATAATTCAAACAATTTATACTATACTGTGCAGTTTGATGAATTCATTAAAAAAAAGTTTCCACTAGCTTTCAGTGGGACAGTAGATTTAGTACCCCGTGCCAGACCTGAGGAATGCATCAAGTAGCTCTCCCTCTGTCAGACAAGATCAACTGTATGCTAATTGGTCAAGCCTGAGAAGTGCGCAGGGGAGCTCAGAATTCCTTTTCTAATTTTTGCAATGTTTTATGCACATGGCAATAAATTTATCAGTCCTATTATAATAAATTCCACTAGCTTTCAGTGGGACAGTAGATTTAGTACCCCGTGCCAGACCTGAGGAATGCATCAAGTAGCTCTCCCTCTGTCAGACAAGATCAACTGTATGCTAATTGGTCAAGCCTGAGAAGTGCGCAGGGGAGCTCAGAATTCCTTTTCTAATTTTTGCAATGTTTTATGCACATGGCAATAAATTTATCAGTCCTATTATAATAAAAAAAAAAAAAAAACTTTGCAAAGGTTGGTGTCCAATATAATGAATTCATCATATGAGTTCCACATTATAATAAAACTATCCCAGAATTTTGTTCATGTCCCTAAAAATTTAAATATCTGAGCTTTATTTTGTGCTGCCAAGATAAGAATGTAGCCCATAAAGGGTTAAAAGTTTTCCAGTGTCCATGAGATATATGCACCCCATTGAAGAAAACTCTTATTACAGGAAACAGACAAGCAAAGATGATCGGCCTTCAATATACTTGAAATAACGTTATACTTGGATTATGCTGGATTAATACAAATTCTCTGGCATGTACTGAAATACTGCATAAAAGTGGGGTTGCAGTTTGATGAGTGGAGGCACATTGCAGTATTGTGGATGTCTAGGAAATGAAAACCCTTCTTCCAGTCCCTATATACAAACATAGTGCCAATTTAGTGGCATTACGCAAATTTATCGGTTCATTGTCTATTCTTCCTATTTCCCTTTTCCTGGATTTTGAAAATAGTGAATCCCTCTTGGTTAAACTCTGGAAAAAAAAAATTATCCTACCATTTCCTTTACCCATCATCAGTTATCACATGATCTGTATTTCATTCTTTAATTCTTCCACAATGAGAGGTTTTACAAAGCCTTCGATAAGTCTTTGTAAGATCAACCTGCTTGATAGAACCCAATAGTATAGGAGGGCATAAATCATATCAGGTAAACTACAGGGCAGAATAGACAAACAGAATTGATATAGAAAATATGTGGATAACCACCACAAAAAAAAACTTGAAATTGGCTGGTGAATATCTATGGCCATGCCAATCATCACCGAAAGTCTACAGGTTATACTGCCAGCTTCCAAATAAGTCCACAGGTACCTAATTTATCATTTGGTAAAAGCTACAGGGACACACCACCATACTTTTTACAGAGTACACCATATACTGCCTAGTAAGGAGGCTCTGCTCTCAGGACCTACACTGTACTTCTACAGAACATTCCAAGAATATACTATCCACAATCTTTCTCTTGTTATAAATCACATAATTTGATGGGCTCAGATATCAAGCTATAATGGATGCTGTCCATTTCTTCTGAATGGCCACTATATTGTTTTAAAAAGGGTCTGTAATTAACACAATAATGTAAACAAACCATTTCACAGCAATGCTTGTCAGAGAATTAAGGCTAGCAGAGTTGCCAAAAAATTCTGTATATAAAAAATCATATTTGAAACCACTAAGTAAAGAACTTATTTGGTCACAGCTAAAAGTTGAAATTTTCTTTAAAATATACTGGGCACTGATCCAGATCCCCCGTGGTAATAGTACAATGCATCTTAGCCAATTAATCAACCTAACCTTAACCCAGTGGGATTTATAACTACAATCTATATATTCGCTAGTCAGAGGGCTCTGTCCTCTGGACCCCCATAGTAATATATACACCTTGGTAAGGGGCTATGCCTTCTGAACCCCTGTGGCTTTAATAAAATATGATCTATATATTTCCTAGGCAGGGGGCTCTGCACCCTGGGCCCCCAGGATAAAACCAAGCACTTTTATACAGCGAAACACAAAACTTTTCTTCGCTTCCATCAATTGTCAGAATTGCTTGGTTTCTAATCACTTTTTTCAGCCTATGGGGCACTTAATAGGCTCAAATATCAGGCTGTTGATACTAATGTCTATTTGTTCTGTATACCCACTATATCCACATTAAAAATAACCCAGAATCGACACAACACTTAAAATGAAACCTTTCTCACTGGTGTTTCACATCGAATGGTGTCACACAGCCTGTCAAATCTCCCAGTGGCAAGCCGCACATGCACAGAGGGTTACTGTACAGAATAGCATCAATAATTACCAAAACATGTAAAAGAATTAAACTAAAAGAATGCACAACATACATGAATTAACAAAAACAGATGCTGGTAATTACAAAAATAATCATTCTCACAATCGCGTAGCAATACATGGACTACTTGACAGATCGCAGTAATGAGTTATGGTCCTCGCAAGGTAAACACAACGGGGTCTTAGAAAATGATGGGTCAATCTTCTCTCTTCTCTGTCCTGTATCTCCATTATTTTCGACTTGCGCACCTTTTGCCACAGATGAAGTGTCTTCAAGGTAACCAGTTCATACACTTTTTTTTTTTTTTTTACTCAAATGCTGATAGTCACACACGGAAAATTTTTCCTTTTCGCTATAATACCTCTTCAGAAAAAGCAATAGGCCTTTAGGCCTTCGGCACATCCAAGTGTTTGTTCTATTTGCATACCGTTTACCTTGAAATATAAGCACCTCTATGTCAGAAACAGTAACTACACTAACACGAAAAAAACAACAGGATATCGGGAACAGAAACTCCTTTTTATTCGCCTTCAGGGGATTGTTTACTCCAAGTCTGACAAACCACACCAGCCACTGAATGCAAAACCCCCCCACTAACAACATCCTCCTCCAACTCTCCCAGACGAGATGAATCGATGAGCGAGGAGCCCGAACGCAGGCGGGAACCGAGCCTAAGCCGCGCCTTGCAAGCGGTCATGCAAGGGCCCTCTCCGTCATGCACAGGGCCCTCTCCCCGTCATGCACCGGGCGCCCTGGCACAAGCCCCTCTTCCCTGGCTCCGTCCTTCCCCGCCTCCCCAGCCGCTTCCTCACCTGCAGGAGAGGACGCCAGGGCCCCGAGGGCAGGCGGCACGGGCAGGGGGAAGGAGGAGAGGGCACGGGCAGGGGAAGGAGGAAGGCCTGATAAAGGAGGGACGCGAGAGGCTGGGAGGTCAAGTCCAAACATTCCTCACTCGTGGCACCTTCATCACGGCCGCCACGCTCTACACGCGATTCCCGCCTCCCCAGCGCCCGTGGCACGTCACCTCCGACCAGGGGGCAGAGGGCATTGCCTTCCCGAGCCCGTCCTCACGCCGATTGCCCCGCCTGAGCGAAAGGAGAGACGGAGATTTACCTTGAATCGCCTTCGTGAGAATCGATAGCACCCTGGCGTCTGCAGGGGTCAGGCTCACGACACTGCGCTGTCTGGGACTCGCCGCTCGGCTCCAAAGGCTGTCCGGGTTTTTTAAGGCATTTCGGCTTTTCAAAGACGAATTAAGTAAATTTGGGAGATTATGATAGTGTTTTGGATTAATTTTGGACTTATGAGACTATGGAAGTCAATTTAAAATGGAAAATATGCAGAAGGATCTTTCTACTAGACTAAACATTAATAATAAAATGTCGTTTAAAGATTAATTACACCCTACAGTTATTTTTGTTACATACCAAGAATTAAAACAAATAAATACCTTTCCTTTACATATATTTTTTTAGAGCATACATTCTTAAATTCAAATAAGATATGTAGTGTCGAGTTCCTGGACGGCGGTGTTGATGGGCGTTTCATTTGCCTTCAAATAAAGAATATAAATAAATTAAATCCTCTTATTCCAACTGCATTCCCAGAAAAGATATGCATTACAATTACGAAATTGATGTAATTAACTCACCTGAACTTCCCGAATGTAAAAAAAAAATATTAGTAAGATAGATTTCAGGGAAATGCATGACAGTTTTCATATAAATCACAAATAATTTATAAACATATCTATATTTTTAACGAAAATGTGTCCTATAACGCATTCTTTTTAAAACATATTCTTCTAAGATCAATAAATAGGCCTATAGGGAAAACAGACAGTGCATTCGATTACAGCATTAATTAAAGCCTTGTCGGTTTTAAGGGTCATAATTTGAATGTGCTTATCATACAAAAAATCTTTCTCATGTAAATCATTTTCGAAAATATATAGAAATATATTTTATTGAGCATAACTCATGGAAGTTTCCTGTCATGTTTAGAAGAAGGAAATTGCATCTCTGGGAAAATTAAATATTTTACTTCTCTATGAAAATATGCAGCAGATCTTTGTTTATTAGTTATTTATATCAACGTGAAACGATTACATATGAAGATTTATAACATGTAAAGTTAACATCTTATACGTTTTATCAGAGCGAATCAATGAAAATGCAATCCGCACTATCTTTATTGTGCGAATAAGGCGGACTTGTCTCTCGTAGAAAGTGAATCATTGGTGACATATATTATAATTCATGTGTGTGTGTGTGTGTGTGTGTGTGTGTGTGTGTGTGTGTGTGTGTGTGTGTGTGTGTGTGTGTGTGTGTGTGTGTGTGTGTGTGTGTGTGTGTGTGTGTGTGTGTGTGTGTGTGTGTGTGTGTGTGTGTGTGTGTGTGTGTGTGTGTGTGTGTGTGTGTGTGTGTGTGTGTGTGTGTGTGTGTGTGTGTGTGTGTGTGTGTGTGTGTGTGTGTGTGTGTGTGTGTGTGTGTGTGTGTGTGTGTGTGTGTGTGTGTGTGTGTGTGTGTGTGTGTGTGTGTGTGTGTGTGTGTGTGTGTGTGTGTGTGTGTGTGTGTGTGTGTGTGTGTGTGTGTGTGTGTGTGTGTGTGTGTGTGTGTGTGTGTGTGTGTGTGTGTGTGTGTGTGTGTGTGTGTGTGTGTGTGTGTGTGTGTGTGTGTGTGTGTGTGTGTGTGTGTGTGTGTGTGTGTGTGTGTGTGTGTGTGTGTGTGTGTGTGTGTGTGTGTGTGTGTGTGTGTGTGTGTGTGTGTGTGTGTGTGTGTGTGTGTGTGTGTGTGTGTGTGTGTGTGTGTGTGTGTGTGTGTGTGTGTGTGTGTGTGTGTGTGTGTGTGTGTGTGTGTGTGTGTGTGTGTGTGTGTGTGTGTGTGTGTGTGTGTGTGTGTGTGTGTGTGTGTGTGTGTGTGTGTGTGTGTGTGTGTGTGTGTGTGTGTGTGTGTGTGTGTGTGTGTGTGTGTGTGTGTGTGTGTGTGTGTGTGTGTGTGTGTGTGTGTGTGTGTGTGTGTGTGTGTGTGTGTGTGTGTGTGTGTGTGTGTGTGTGTGTGTGTGTGTGTGTGTGTGTGTGTGTGTGTGTGTGTGTGTGTGTGTGTGTGTGTGTGTGTGTGTGTGTGTGTGTGTGTGTGTGTGTGTGTGTGTGTGTGTGTGTGTGTGTGTGTGTGTGTGTGTGTGTGTGTGTGTGTGTGTGTGTGTGTGTGTGTGTGTGTGTGTGTGTGTGTGTGTGTGTGTGTGTGTGTGTGTGTGTGTGTGTGTGTGTGTGTGTGTGTGTGTGTGTGTGTGTGTGTGTGTGTGTGTGTGTGTGTGTGTGTGTGTGTGTGTGTGTGTGTGTGTGTGTGTGTGTGTGTGTGTGTGTGTGTGTGTGTGTGTGTGTGTGTGTGTGTGTGTGTGTGTGTGTGTGTGTGTGTGTGTGTGTGTGTGTGTGTGTGTGTGTGTGTGTGTGTGTGTGTGTGTGTGTGTGTGTGTGTGTGTGTGTGTGTGTGTGTGTGTGTGTGTGTGTGTGTGTGTGTGTGTGTGTGTGTGTGTGTGTGTGTGTGTGTGTGTGTGTGTGTGTGTGTGTGTGTGTGTGTGTGTGTGTGTGTGTGTGTGTGTGTGTGTGTGTGTGTGTGTGTGTGTGTGTGTGTGTGTGTGTGTGTGTGTGTGTGTGTGTGTGTGTGTGTGTGTGTGTGTGTGTGTGTGTGTGTGTGTGTGTGTGTGTGTGTGTGTGTGTGTGTGTGTGTGTGTGTGTGTGTGTGTGTGTGTGTGTGTGTGTGTGTGTGTGTGTGTGTGTGTGTGTGTGTGTGTGTGTGTGTGTGTGTGTGTGTGTGTGTGTGTGTGTGTGTGTGTGTGTGTGTGTGTGTGTGTGTGTGTGTGTGTGTGTGTGTGTGTGTGTGTGTGTGTGTGTGTGTGTGTGTGTGTGTGTGTGTGTGTGTGTGTGTGTGTGTGTGTGTGTGTGTGTGTGTGTGTGTGTGTGTGTGTGTGTGTGTGTGTGTGTGTGTGTGTGTGTGTGTGTGTGTGTGTGTGTGTGTGTGTGTGTGTGTGTGTGTGTGTGTGTGTGTGTGTGTGTGTGTGTGTGTGTGTGTGTGTGTGTGTGTGTGTGTGTGTGTGTGTGTGTGTGTGTGTGTGTGTGTGTGTGTGTGTGTGTGTGTGTGTGTGTGTGTGTGTGTGTGTGTGTGTGTGTGTGTGTGTGTGTGTGTGTGTGTGTGTGTGTGTGTGTGTGTGTGTGTGTGGTGTGTGTGTGTGTGTGGTGTGTGTGTGTGTGGTGTGTGTGTGTGTGTGGTGTGTGTGTGTGTGTGTGGTGTGTGTGTGTGTGGTGTGTGTGTGTGTGTGTGTGTGTGTGTGTGGTGTGTGTGTGTGTGGTGTGTGTGTGTGTGTGTGTGGTGTGTGTGTGTGTGTGTGTGTGTGGTGTGTGTGTGTGTGTGTGGTGTGTGTGTGTGTGGTGTGTGTGTGTGTGTGTGTGTGTGGTGTGTGTGTGTGTGTGTGTGTGGTGTGTGTGTGTGTGTGGTGTGTGTGTGTGTGGTGTGTGTGTGTGTGGTGTGTGTGTGTGTGTGTGTGTGTGTGGTGTGTGTGTGTGTGTGGTGTGTGTGTGTGTGGTGTGTGTGTGTGTGTGGTGTGTGTGTGTGTGTGTGTGTGTGGTGTGTGTGTGTGTGGTGTGTGTTGTCTGTGTGTGTGTGTGTGTGTGTGTGTGTGTGTGTGTGTGTGTGTGTGTAAGTACGTATATATAGATGTATAAATACACATATATGTAGACATATACGTATTAACATGCAGTCGTATTTCCGCTGGGGATGAACTATCGTGTGAAGCCGCGAGCCGCCGCCGGAGCCGCTCGGTGAGTCGCGTCGCCTCGCCGCGGGCCGCCCGAGGAGCCACCTGGACGCCTCGCAGTGTGAAGGTCGGACACGGGCGCCATGGACGAAACGCCGGTAGGCCCTCTCTAGCTTTCTCTGCCGTGTGATGGCTCATTGTGTGGGAGGGGAGGGTGCTGCGGGAAGGGCGTGGGAGACGAGGGGGACGCTGGGAGGAGCAGGAATGGAGGGCAAAAAGGACAACAGATTTTACGCGTCGGGGAAGGAAGGTCCCGTGGCCAGACGGCGGGAGGACACGCGTAGAGAAAAAATAGTCGTTTGTCCTTATCCATGACGTGCAGGGGGTGCAGCTGTAATTATAACTGACAGAGGGAAACCCCAGCAAAATATGGTACACGTTTTCTGTTTGATTTACACAGATATAGGATTCCCAGGGCTACATATGGTGGGGCAGCTACTAATATGTAAACAAGTGGATCCCGGAAAGTGCTGCCCGGTTTGTTTACGGGACAAGCAAGGGGTTGAAATGCTGGTATTTGGGTGTTTGTTACCGAGAGCGATGCACCTCCTGAGACGAAATCCCAAATCCGGGGTATCATGCTAATACAAAAATCCAAACCTAGCCTTTCCTTCCTTTTATTTATTCCCTAGACCAGGGCTTGTCCAGTTAGTCAATGTCCAATATGCACAGAGATCTGGAGAAATAATACCGAAATATTTTGCGTGCAATCTAGAAAATATTAAGACTATTCTTAACCGATATCTAAGGCCCTGGGAGCATTAGTAGGTTAAATATACACGTACGATAGACGCCTAAATTACCCTACAGTCAGTCGAGGAAATACCATTATGAGGTCTTTAATTTTATTTAATTTTAATCTTCCCCCCCCCCCTGGAATCTCAGGGCTTGCTGTAACACTCAGAAGGTCTGAATTTGAAATGTGGGCTGCGAATTGAGTATCCCTGCGCTACGACATTTGATAGAGTTTGTGCAGACTTAAAGAAAATGCGACATTAAGAACTTTGGCTGTTTTAAGGTGGTGTGTGCTTAATCTCTGAGCAGTGATAAGCAGCAGATGTTTGTTTCTTGGTGGATATGAGGCTGCAACAGCTGTTTGTTTGTGACTCTATATCTATACTCTATATCATACTCGATATCTTGTGTCCATTTCCCTCTTTCTTAGTGCGTCACTCTCGGTAACATTATACGTTGACTTACAAATGCAGGGGAACTGTGAGAAAAGTCAAAGGACGCTTATAAATTCAGTAGAAATTGATTTTACAGTGGTTGCTTATCAGTTTTCCAAAGTAGTGCTACATCATGGAGTGCTGTGACAGACTTTAGTGAATCTTTGTACATATTTTAGTTTGAACTGGTTCCTTGTATGTATATAAATTGACAGGAAGGTCTTGCAGGCTCTTATCATGCCATGCATGTGGATTATGTATGGCTCTGTTCTGGAGAATTATTATCCAATTGAGAAAGATGTTCATGGTATTTAGTACCCAGGTCTGAATACTGGTAGATACCTACTGGTATCTGCTAATCAAAAGTTGCCAAAATTGTTGGCAGAATTAATAAACAAGCACAATATGAACACTTGTAGCTTGGGACAGTGTGGAATCTGGGATGTTTACTTTTCTGAGCGTGACCCTATTTTTAGGTGTCAGTTCGATCACTTGACTATCTTGTCAGTCAGGTTTAGTGGATTTTTTCCATTCCCGGTAGGGGGTCGGAGGGATTGCATAATGGAGATTTTAGCACAATTAAAAATGGAAGCTTGCTCTGAACTCTTAAAGTACTCCAAATTGCCAAGTATCTTTTTTTTTTTTCCCAAATCAATTTTTTTTTATAATTTGCTTCAATTGAAATTTAGGTAATTTTTTTTGTTTCACCCAGCTTTCTAATCTTGTAGTTATAATTTCTCCTTTCAATTATCCATACTGTATTATGGGTGAATCTCTTGTTACTTTCCATTACAAATGATGTAAATGAAAGTATTGGTAATTTTTATGAAATGACCTTTACCCCTCTGAATGGGTCCATAGTACTCCAGCCATTCCTGGGAAATGCTCAAACATTGTCGTATGAACCTGAAAAAAATTCCTAACCTAGGAGCTTTGCCCTTCAGATCCCTATCTCTTTGTTCTGTATTTGTCACAGCCCATTTTCTTCATTTCTGATTTTATTTTTTACTTATGCAGATTATGGTAATTCTTTCTGAATATATTACATTCACAAGATTATTATATGATAGTCTGTGACTATTATAGGTATACTACAGATGTATACTTTAGTTCCCTTGAATCTCATATTAATCCAACAATCTTGATTTAACCCAATGGCGCCGGGTGTACAAAAAAAAAAAAACTATGCTCTAGCAAACAAAGGCGGCGCGCCAACTTTGAGCGTGTGAGTAGGGGACATCAGTCCGAATCACTGGCTCGCCGCGCTTTGGCGCGCTGCTGCAGCGTACAGCCGCACGCCAGCTTTTGAGCGGTTTGTTTTCACGCAGATCGGCATCACCCGGCCTTAAAGGGTTAATAGTCATGATGGTAGGGCAGGGCATGAAGTATATCAGGGAAGTTATAGGATAAAACAGTGTGTGACCGACGGGCCACACACTGAGGAGTCATAACAAAGCGCTCGATTGGTAGATTGCGCCTGTACGCTGTGGCGACGCGTCAGAATGCTACAAGCTAGGGGTTCAGCTTGATGTAGCAAACTCCTGCGCTCAAAGTCAGCTCGGTGCCATTAATCTCCAGAGCGTAGAGTTTTAAATATTTTTCTTAACCTGTCAGTAACGGGTTAAATGTAATTAAGTAATACATAAAATATTGAAAGGAAAAAAAAAATCAGCCTCTCAAACTCTAGGAAACACCTGCCAACATAGAAAATCATGATGTATAAAATGCAGAAAATAGGACTTTGTGACTTTGTTTGCAAATCCCACAATCTATGCACAGTTTTTTAGCACAACCTTCTTTGTCTTTCTCTGTGACCATTTTTCGCAGAAGTGTCAGACTGACTACTGGGTCATATGGCCATCCCCCTTGGCAGACATAACGTGTTAGAAAAAAAAAAAAAAAAAATCATGCCATGTAGATACATTAAATAGTAAACTTTGCAATAGCAACCTTAAAACTAAGACATTTTAATGCACCAAAGTTTGAAAAGTGAATAGTCTATCATTTATATATATTTAGACATACCAATGTATATATACATGTATACAGAGGTTTGTACTGTTGTTAATTGTGCAGTTAGGAAAAAATTAGGATTGTGTTTTCTAGTTTCAATGTTTCTGTTACTCGCATTTATAGAATCAAATGGTTTTGTTTTTTATGCTATTACAAACCAGTTTTTGCTTCTGCGATATGTATATATAATTATAGAAACTTTCCTAGATTATTTGATGTATTAGTGGATATTTTTGTTTTTGGTTATTATAGTGCCATTACATTTTTCTCTAAATGTTTACCAAATTATAATGTGTTGCACAACTTTCTTATTAGCTTGTGAAGATATGCATAACTCTTATCAAGCTGCAAAGATAGTCCACAGGAGAAAAGTGTTTTATTTTTTGTTATTCTGTACATCTGACTAATTTTACTTTGTACTCGTGGCTGTGGGAAACAAACTATATTGAAAATTCTAGCCTTCAATACTTTTTTTTTTTTTTTTTTCCCTCTCCCTCTCTCCCTACCTCCTCCCCTCCCCCTCCTTCTCCCCCTCAAAGGAAATCAGAGTACACCAGGTTCTGAATTGCTTCCCCCCCTCCCCCTCTTTTTTACTGTCTGGTATACTTCATTACCACCCTTAACCTATTAATAATGGTATTAAAAATTGGCTTGTGACTTGTAATGAGGGGTTGTTAGCACACATTGGTAGTTTCCCTTGTTTACACTCGGCTTGTTTAGTTATTCTAGCACAGGATTGGGCATCTAATAGCTTGTAGTTTAATTTTATAAACAAAAAGTTGTGAAATACTCAAGGATTCGCTTCGCTAAAGGCACTTGCATCTAATTATTAAGCCACTAAATGATACTGATACTAATTGAGAAAGACAAGTTCTCCGATAGGGAAATGGCACAGGGTTTGTCATTATTTGGTGCAATCTGCAATGTAGTCCCAGCTTCACCATAGTACTGTAATTAACCCCTTGGTGCCGGGTGACGCCGATCGGCGTGTAAACAAAGAGCTCGAAAGCTGGCATGCAGCCGAACGAGCCGGTGGCGCGCCAAAGCGCGGCGAGCCAGTGATTCGGGCTGATGTCCCCTACTCACGCGCTCAAAGTTGGCGCGCCGCCTTTGTTTGTTTAAGCGTAGAGTTTTTTTTTTCTTTTGTACACCCGGCGCCATTGGGTTAAGCCAACTACAAACAGGTCCACTCCCCACAAGCATGGCTAATTGCACAATGTGTGTCCAGTTCTGTTCACTGCAATCATGAAAGACCTGTGGAAAACTGGAAGGATATTTTCTCAATTTTGTATCAGGCAACATATATAGTGTCTAATATATCTGATACTTTTTTACAAGTTTCTTAAAGCAATACCCGTGATATCACTCATACCGCTACTCTAATTGTAAGCCCTCATCTGTCTGAACTAAACAGTCATGTTTTCCCTCCTCTAGCTTCTTGTAAATGAAACATGAGTTTCATTTACAAGAAGTAGTGAAGTAGTAATTCTGGTACTGTGTGGCATATTTCATCCAACCAAACTGTAGATATTTTCCTCTTCCAATATTCCCCCTCCACACATCATACTAATTTATATCACATAGTTGCCTCCTGTTATTTCATCTTTTTACTGTTCATGGTTAAACTTTACAATGTGGATAGATTAAGCTAGGGCAGATTGATGAGGATATTCTTGTTAAGAACTTTACAAGAAATCTACAAACATGATTGATCATACCACAAATAAAGGAAACAGATCACAGTAATGTGCCACTCACAGCCCAAGTCCACTAGGTAGTCCTCAGTTTCAGCTCTATCTCGCTATTTATACTGAGGTGAGGAAAAAGTTTGCCGGGTGGTGTCAGAGGTCAGTCCCCCCCTATCAACTCATTCCTTGGGCAGTGCTGGAAGGGCACTCCCCATCATGGCACTCCAG